CTCAAAGACTCATTCAGTTAGTAAATACTGCAGCTTGATCTCAATCAAAGCTAGTGCTCTTAACTCTAGACCACATTATCTTTCCCAAGATCCCATCATTCAGCTGAATACCATGAAGTACACAATAGACACCTACATTTATATGATGAATTAAGGCATATTCTTACTAATTGACTTCCATACAGAATTAACCTTATTTTAGATTAGGTTTAAAACTCTAGCTACCCTTAGCAAAAATAAACTAGTTAGCAATTCTTATTTGGTACGTTAAAAACATGTTCAGAACTACTATTTAAGGATTTTTAAAGCCATAAAAAATCACCTTGGTTCTGAAAACATTGGTGGCTTTTATGTAAGTAGTTCTTACTAGCAGTTTTCTGTCCAAAGCTGAAATAATTTAGACTCAACGGCAGTGGTTCTCAAACATTTCTGTGCCTGAGGCTCATTTGAGGAGTCTATCAAAAGATAAGATCCTAAGCTTATTCCCAGAGCTTCTGATTCAACATATCTTTAGTGGAGCCCTGGTATCTGCATTCTAAACAGATGACCTTGTTAATTGTGGCTGTTGCTCCCTGAACATGCAATCCGAACACCACCCTGGAGAAACGTGTCATCTCAACATAAGCATATGACTCAGACCAGAAGAATATTAGAATTATCTGCACCAAAGGGAAACATGATAATTATTACAAAGCAATAATAAATTAGTGGAAGATAGATACTGGGTAAAGGGAGATAATTTTAGCATATTTTTATCTTAATTAAAATGTTTTCTTATATGTAAACTTAAATAATTGTAAGATTCTATCTATTTGTATTTTGAAAGACATACAGATTTCACATTTGTCACCTTGTTCAAGGCAGGCAAAGTAAGGAATAGTTTTAAGAAAACCATTAACTTAGGGACCTTAGTGAGATGTAGTTACCATATTATTAGATTGAAGTTCAGTTTTCAGCAAAAAAAAAAAAAAAAAAAAAAAATCTGAAAAAAAAAAAAAAAAAAAAAAAAAAAAAAGGAGTACAAATAGGAAAGTATGTCCCTTTCAGATGAAAACAAACTATCTCTGAAAAAGACTCGATGGTGGATCTAGTAAAGACTCTATTAACAACTGCCTTAAGGATGTTTTTTAAAGAACCCAAGATCATGTGGAAAAAGTCAAGAAAACAATGGATGAACAAAATCAATACAGAGAAAATCTAAGACGATTCAAAAATTTCAGGAGCTAGAAAGTACGTTAACTGGAATGAAAAACTCACAACTGGGTATTCAAATGCAGATTTGAGCAGCAGAAGAATCAGTATACATGAAAATAGGACAATGGAAATTATTAGAGTCTGAGGAACAGGAAAAAAGTTGGAAGAAAGTGAACAGGGTATAAGGATCCGTGGGATTCATCAAGCAAAACTACACATTGTGAGGGTCCCAGAAGGAAAAGAGAGAAGTAAGGGACAGAATATCTGAAGAACAGCCAGATAATGACCAACAAACTCCAAGTACAGTAAATTTAAAGAGATCCACACAAACTGTCAAAAGCCAAAGACAAAAAGAGAATCTTGAAAGTAGCATGAAAAAATCAATTTATCACATATAACTGATAATAAGATTATCAACAGATTTCTCATCAGAAACTTGGGAAGCCAGAAGGCAGTGAGCTCATATATTGAAAGTATTAGGAAAAAAATACATCAACCACATTTCCTGTATTTGGCAAAACCATTCTTCAAACGTGAGAGAAAAATTAAGACATCCCCAGATAAACAAAAGCTGAGAGAGTATGTTACCACTAGACCTGCCCCTGCCAGAAATGCTAATACGAGTTCTGCAGGTTGATGGAAAGACACTTAACAGCAACTCAAAGCCACATGAAGAAATAAAGATCTCAGTAAAGAAAAATTCACAGGCAAATATAAAATCTAGTACTTTTGTAACAATGGTTTGTAACTCCACTTTTTGTTTTCTACATAGAGACTAATGCATTTTTAAAAATTGATTTTGCACACAGTGTATATAATTTTGTGAAACTTAAAGGAGTGATTGATGGAGATGTAATGAGCAGAATTTTTGTATGTTTTTGAAGTTCAGCTGGTATAAATCCAAATTAGCGTCAGGATATTAAATGTCATCCCATGTTAACCACAAAGAAAACAGCTACAGAATATACACAGACGAACTGAGAAAGATATTTAAAGGTTTCATTCTAAAAAAAACTACACACAAAAGACTACAGTAATGCAGGAAATGAAGGACCAAAAAGCTAAGCTATGTAGAAAACAAATAACAAAATGACAGAAGTAATTCCCTCCTTGTCAGTCAGCCTCAAAAAGGAAAAAATTCCGACATATACAACGTGGAAGAAGCTTGAGGACGTCATGCTAAGTGAAATAAGCCAATTACAAAAGACAGATACTGTATGATTACATTTATATGAGACACTTAGGGCAATCAAAACCATAGAGACAAAAAGTAGATTGGTGGTTGCCAGGGACAGGGCAGATGGGAGAATAGGGAACCATTGCTTATTGAGTCTAGAATTTAAGTTTTGCAAGGTCAAAAGAGACCTGGAGATGGATAGTGGTGACGGTTGCACAATATAAATTACTTACTACTACTGAACTGCACACTTAAAAATGATTAAGATGGTATATTTTACATTTTACCACAATAAAAAAAGTGCAGGAAAAAAGTTGTCTTAGATGTGTTTTCAAAATATCTCATGGTTCCTATTTCATCTATGTTACTTAGATTTGAGAAACTAAGGCTTTGTCTACACTGTACAAAATGAAATAGGGATTTGGTGAACATACAGTTAAGACAGATAGCAAAGAAATCAACTTTGCAGTCTTGGTAACATCTAATTAACCAGATATTTACTGTATTGACTTTACTATGTTGGGTTTCTTAACCTGGGGAACATGTACTTGAGTGGAAAAAAATTATTCCTTTATTCTCACTAATTTATAATGAAGTTTAGTATTCCTTTCAACTATGAAATAGGCAACCAACCACAGTAATGTTAACAATTGTGCCTGTCACCAAAGGAAATGGCAGATCTTTTTATGTTACAATTGTTGCAAATATCTCAAATTACTGTCAATCCTCATTTCTCTTTTAAAATTAAGTATAAATTCACTTGTGTTTCTTTTGGTTTCCAATTTTAAGAAATTTTCAAGGTAAACTGGTTTAAAAAATTAAAGCATTATTTAATAATGAAATTTTAATTTATTATAATGACCCAGTAAAGTGTAGTTTCTCTAACTCTTTCTCTTTGTTTTAGTGACTGATTGTGGATATACTTAAAGATGGCTGCTTACAGTCCCTATTGGGAGTGAGTAAGATTAACTCACCTAAAATTTGCAAAGAGTTTTTGTTCTCCTTGCCTGTTAAAACTTTTAGTAATTTTTCAGAAATTTAGAAGATAAAGAGCAAAATAAAATGTAGCTTTTTAAAAGGATAATTTTTAAAAATCCAATTGTTTTTATAAAGATTTCAAGTAGCCTAATAATTGTTTCTTTTAAAATGTTTTCTTTAGAGGAAATAAGTTATCCTTTTTTTTTTTTTTTTTTTTGAGACGGAGTTTCGCTCTT